AAAGGCCCTTCTCTGTTGATATTGCCCCATTCTCTCTTGAATATGGATCAACTTTCCTAAATAAACCTCTATGCCTTTGACTAGTGCATGCTGAAATTCTTCTTTCACTTATGCCAAGAACCCTGCTGGTCCGGAGTTGAACTCCCCTTCTTTACAGACATCTCTTCTCCCATGACAGTAGTACTGCTTCAGCAGTATCCTGAAGGTACAATGAAGAATCGTAGGTGCTCTCTTAGAGGGAGGGAGGGTGGGGCTGAATACTTCCCTGGCCAAAAAGTATTCACTTGCTAAGTCAGCACCCACTCCCAGAACTACCAGTCACCCTGACACATTGCCCAGTCTCCACTGCCTCTCTCTCTATTCATTACTTCTGAACTCACTATCTTTCCAAATTCATCTCGGACCCACTCTTCCTCACTTATCATAGTCCTTCCTCACTTACCTTTCAGTTCCTTGGACAAATATTTCCCACCCCAGATCTCTGAACATGCTATTCTATTCTCTCTTTCTCCTTTAAAACAAAAACCAAACTAACTTTCTGTCTCCTGGTTTCTGTTTTTTCCTGTCAATCCACCAAAACTACATTTGTTAACATAATCAAAAGGAGTGTCTGTTTCTAAATGTGTAGATTAATGTAAAGATAATTGATATTTTGTGATTTGCTTATCTAAAAACATGTTATAGCTTTCCATCTGTTCAAGTCTTTGTGTTTCTGAGGAACGTTTAAAGTTTTCATCTTGTAGATTTTTTTACATTTCTTGACAAGTTTACGGCTAGGAATTTATCATTTTTTGTTACCAGTATAGTGTCTTTTTCCCATTATACTGAATTGATTGCTATTTGCAAACATATTATTGTCTTATGTAAAATTAATTGGATTCTTTCTTGCTTTATTTATGGTGGCTTTTCCATTTGGTTTTATTTATTTATTTATTTTAGATGGTACTGGGAATTGAACCCTGGGTGCTTTGCCACTGAGCTACATCCCCAGCTCTTTTTATTTTTTGTTCATTTATTTAGTTGTTCGTGGATCAGTAATATTTTATTCATCCACTTAAGGGACACATCTGGGGAGGGGGGGTCAGTTTCTTTTTATTTTTTATTTTTTAAATTTTTGGTATAAGATTTCACTAAGTTGCCAAGTCTTGCTATCTTTCTACCTCAGCCTCTCCTGTCCCTGGGATTACAGGTCTGCACCACTATGCCTGAGTTTTTTAGATATATAATCATATCATCTGTAAATAGAGATACAACTCCTTTCCAGCTTTGATGCCATGAATTCCCTCCTTTTGTACAACTGCATTGACTAAATACATCTAGAACAGCATTCCATGGTGGTAATGAAAATGGGTAACCTCATCCTATTTGTGAGTTTCATGAGAATGCTTCTCTTGCTTCCCCATTAAGTGTGAAACTGGTTTTTGGGTTGTGCAAAAATCTCTTGAATCTATCCTCACTGCTCCTACCTTAGGTCAAGACACTGTGATCTTTTATATGAACTACTGTGGTAGCACCCTAATTTTTATTTTCCTTCTTGCCATTCCAACCCATTCTCCATATAATGTGTGGAGTGGCTTTATACAAATAAAAATATGTTCATGTTGCTTCTCTCTTAAAGCATTCCAGTGGTTTCTCATTCTTCTTAAAAAATCTAAAATCCTTAACATCATTCCCGGTCCTTGCATGATTTAACCAGCCCATGCATTTCCAGCTTCACAGTGTCCTCTCTCTTCCCACACTCTGGCTCACAAAGGCCTTTCAGTTTCTTGAATGTGATTAAGTATCTCACACCTCCAGACTTTGCACATGTAAAGGATCTGTCCTCACTTCTTTGCTGAGCTAATCTCACCCTACTTCCCCTTTGCATTTCAGCTTCTCACTTCCTCAGGAAAGCCTTCCCTAACACCTCTGGCCAGGTGTCACATTCTCACTGCCCCCATCCTTTTCTTTCACAGCCCTTCTCATCACAACGCACTTACACATAACTATTTATATACTTTTAAAAAATATTTTAGTTATAGATGAACACAATACCTTCATTTTTTTTTTTGTGGTGTTGAGGATCGAACCCAGTGCCTCACACATGCTAGGCAAGAGCTCTACCATAGAGCCCCAGCTCCTTGATATACCTTATTGTATACTTTCCTGATGGTTTGTACATTGTACTAGTGTCTAATACCTTGTCTATAGACATAAATTATTCATAATGAAGACACAAGGGTTGCACTACTGTTTTCATATAAGAACATTTCAAGTTCTGAGATTACACAATCATGAATGAGTGGTATATTTGCCGGGGAAACAGGGGATGATATCAAAGCAAACAGATTAGAAAATGAGAAGATATTGTTATAGCAGGTAGTAAGAATATTATCAACTTGAAGAGGTACCCAAGGGCCAAAGATAGAAAAATCTGTGTAAGAAAAATAACTATAATAGCCAGGTGTGGTTTGCTGAGATTACACACTTGTAATCACAGCTACTTGGGAGGCTAAAGCAGAAGGGTGACAAATTTGAGGCCAGCTTCAGCAATGTATTTATCCTGTCTCCAAAAAAAAAGAGAAAGAGAGAGAAAGCCCGGTGGCGGTGGCACACACTTGTAATCCCAGCAGTTCAGAAGGTTGAAACAGGAGGACCGAATGTTCAAAGCCAGCATCAGCAACAGTGAGGTACTAAACAACTCAGTAAGAACCTGTCTCTAAATAAAATACAAAATATGGCTGGGGATGTGACTCAGAGGCCGAGTGCCCCTGAGTTCAACCCCTGGTACCCCGCCCCCCAATAAATAAATAAATAAATAGAGAAAAAATAATAACAAGAGATTGAAACACCTCAGTGATACTATGCAAACAAAAACTCATAAAGTTCTGTAAGGTGGTAGGGAATCGACTCATTGTTTTTAAAACTGATATTAAGGAGAAAAAACAAAATCAAGCTTGTTTTCTGCCTTTTTTCCATTGATGGAAAGTGACTCTTTTGTGATATATCTCAGCTAATAAACAAAGGAAAATGATAAATTAAAATATCAGTTTTGCAGCCTAGCTTGAATTAATGAATCTAGACAACAATTACAATAACTGATTGCATCATTATCAGGAACTGCAACAGAGGTATACAACACAATGCTTAAAAATGTCTTGCAAGAAAAAAAAAAAGTCAAACCTAAATTGGATTAAGACTCGAAGTCAAAATTCTCATTTACAGGAAATAGAGTGGACAGGGGGACATGTTATGGGGATGCAGTGAACAAAGTCCACAATGTAAACCTTTACAGGAATAGAAAAACTAATTTCTTTCTTTCTCTTTCTTTTAGCAGTGCTGGGGATTGAACCCAGGACTTCTCATTCCACCACTGAGCTGTAACCGCAGACCATGACCTGATTTCTTTTACAAAAGTTTATAAAGAATAAAAAGAGAGATGGCAGAGAACTTAGAAATTTAAAGACTTAACCGTGTGTAATGGCACACGCCTATTGTAATCTCAGCATTTCAGGAGGCTGAGGCAGGAGGATCTTAAATTCAAGGCCAGTCAGGACAATTTAGCAAGATCCTGTATCAAAATAAATTTTTTAAAAAAGGGGAGCTAGAGATGTAGTTCAGTGGTAGAGTGCCCCAGAGTTCCATTCAGGTAACTCACACCTCGACACATAAAGAATTAAAGGACACATCAACCATTTGCATTGTATGGGCCTTGTTTGGATAACCAGATATTTGAAGATATTAAGGAATTATTGATTTTACTTAGATGTTATAATGGTATTGTGCTTGTTTTTTGCAGTATGGGGGACTGAACCCAGGGCTTCACACATGCTAGACAAATGCTCTACCACAGAGCTACATCTTCAGTCCTTTTAAAATTTTTATTTGAGATAGGTCTTGCTAAGTTGCTTGGGCTGGCCTCAAATTTATCATCATTCTACCTCAGTTTCCTGAATCTCTGGGATTATAGTGAATGTCTTAACTGTTGACAGTTTGATTTTTGAAAGAGCAGTGTTCTTCACTGATGTAGGGAGTCATAAGCAGAGCACACTTTAGAAGCCCAGGGCATTTTGTCCTGCTAAATCCAGATGATCCAGATGGCAGAAACAGGATGACATGACAATAAGAATTTATTCCATTTTAATGTTGTCCTGTACTACTTGGATTTCCAAGAAGAAACTTGGATTCAGGGCAATCATTTTTTTTCCCTTAACTTTTTAATTTTTGACTACTTCCAACACTTTCAAAATAATTAATAGCAGAATTCATGAGATTAAATTATTATTGAAGAGAGGTAAAAACCACATCTATTCAGTGTAGATCACTGCTATTTGATAGAACTTTCGACAATGAAGGAAAAATTTTTTGTCTGCATTGTTGAATGCTGTAGCCAAAAGCCACAAATGTATACTGAAACTGAAAATGTGTCAGTGTGACTAAGAATCTGAATTTTATGTTTTATTTAATTAAAAAAATTTTTTTAGTTGTAGATGGACACAATACCTTTATTTATATACTTTTTATGTGGTGCTGAGGATCAAACCCAGCACCTCACATGTGTGAGGCAAGCACTCTACCACTGAACTACAATCCCAGTTCCAATTTTATTTAATTTTAACTAATTAAAATAACATTCTGGAACTGGGGTTGTAGCTCAGTGGTAGAGCACTTGCTTAGCACATGTGAAGCACTGGGTTCGATCCTCAGCACCACATAAAAAATAAATTTAAAAAAATGAAGGTATTGTGTTCATCTACAACTAAAAAAATAAAAGAAAAATAATGTTCTGTAGCTAGTGGTTACTGTGTTGGGACAGCACAGTTGGAGTCTATGTAATATCTATCCTAATTGCTCCCTTAGTACTTTTTATTGTTAATCATAAAGAATGCTTTACTATATTTAGACAAACAGGTCAGTCAATATCAATTTTAGTAGACTTTTTTTCTTATTCCTATTCTTGCTCCTCTTTTATTAAAACAACAACAACAACAACAACAACAACAACAACAACAAAACGCTAAACACGACTTCTCCCCTGGCCTACGTGCGGGAGGGTGGCTGAGACAGCAGATGAAATCGCCAAGGCTCAGGTGGCCCAGCCTTCTGACGGCGACACCATCTTCAAGAAGATCATCCGCAAGGAAATCCCCACCAAAATCATTTTCGAGGATGACCAGTGTCTTGCTTTCCATGGCATTGCCCCTCAAGCACCAACACATTTTCTGGGGGTACCCAAGAAACATATAACCCAGATTTCTGCTGCAGAAGATGATAATGAAAATCTTCTTGGACATTTAATGATTGTTGGCAAGAAATGTGCTGCTGATCTAGGCCTGAAGAAGGGTTATCGGATGGTGGTGAGTGAAGGTGCAGATGGAGGACAGTCTGTTCATCTGCATGTTCTTGGAGGTGGGCAGATGAATTGGCCTCCTGGCTAAGCATGTATTAGATGGTTTTCCCTTCTCTAGGCAATGATTTTGCTTGCATTTTCCAATATGTTAAGCAGCATGATTATTTGTGCCCGGGTCTGGAGATATTGGGAAAATAATTTTAAATGCCTATACATAATAAATACATTGTTGCATGGTTAAAAAAAAAACGCTAAACACACAAAAACAAAACCTATTAGAATTTTGACTTATCACCTTTTGCACAGATACCCCAGGGGACAAACAGATGTATGTAATGTCATGGAAAAGAACTAGCTAGTTTTCACTTTCCATTTTATAGAATCTTCTTTTTTTTTTTTTTTTTTCCTGGTGCTGGGTATCAAACCCAAGTCCTCATGTAGTAAGCAAGGACTTTACCATTGAACTATAACTCCAGTTCATTTTTTAGAATTAATTTGTTGAACAGATGTTTAATCTGCACCTACCGTATCTGTTAGTTTTGGTGGCTACTGTGGTATGCTGCCAAGTTTCATCATTCAGGACCTAGACCTGACAGCTGGCCGGGTTTGTTGTCATCAGCTCAACAATGATTTCCCTTCCAGGAATTGCCTGAGGGTAGGAAACTCACTTGTCCAAGTTTATGGCCCTTCTTAGGGACAGCCTTCATACAGTGTCTTGTTTATTTGGAGATATAAAGGCCTGCCAATTTGCTGAAATTTGTGACAACTTTGAAAAGCCATCTGAGGTCCAGAATTGTCCAGGAGATATGAACTCTTTGTTGTGACTATATCACAATTGAACTTGTCTCTGTGTCCAACCCAAGTCACTAAATTGCTATCAATTTTGAATCTCAGATAGATGTGGTTCTTGTCCTCATATTGATTACAGTATTCTGGCAGGAGTGAAGAAACTGAAATCCAGCGAGATTTGGGGACTAGCCCAAGGGCTCACAGTGTTGTGGATCTTGAATGTACCTCCAAAGCTCATGTGTTGAAATCATAGTCTCTAATGAAGCAAGTTTCAGAAGTGGGGCTCATGGGCAATGATTGGATCACAAGGGCTGTGACTTCATCAGTGGATTAATCCACTTGATGGATTAATTAACTGATAACTAAATGGACGACTGGGAGGTGGGCCATAGGAGGAAGAAGTAGGTTACTGGGGGCATGCCCTGGAAGGGTTTATCTTCTTTCCCCATTTCCCAGCTGCAATGAACTGAGACACTTTCCTCTACCTCGTGCTTCCACCATGATGTCTTGCCTAAGAGCAATGGAGCCATCTGACCATGAATCCATTGTGAGCCAAAATAAATCTTTCCTCCTCTTAGTGTTCTTGTCAGGTATTTTGGTCACAGAAATGAAAAGCTGACTAACACACACCAGTTTATTCATAGCAGAACCAGAACTGAAATCTATTTTCCTGTTGTTCAGTGTAGTGCTCCACTGCACCATGTGGCCTTATAATAAAGGACATTGCATCAAGGATCTCAGTTTGCTATTGGGAGTAGTACTGAGGAAGCAGGATATCTTTCTAAAATGTTAAATTGGATGATAGACAAATAAATACTGAATCCTAAGGGAAATTACTCTCTCTTTCTCTTTTTTTTTCTTCTTTTTGGTGCTCAAAATTGAACCCAGGCCTTCTTGCATGCTAAGCAAGTGCTCTACCAGCCCCCTTCTTAAATGATCTAGATACCTTGACCACAAAGGTTGGTTGAGGAGTGATTACCAATTCTCTTGGCCTAACCATTGATGTGCCAGTTATGAGCACATGACCCATACCAGACCAATCACAATATTTCCCCAGAATTATTATTAAACCAGAGCTAAGAGATGAGGTGTCTTCATCCTGATTAGAAGACAGAAGAATGTGAATTTAGAAGGCAGATTCTTATATTGGGAAGAAGCAGGTCTGAGAGAAAAGAGGCTTTCCTTCAGAAGGATGTGAAGACAGACAGGGATAGGAAACCCTATAATTTGTGGCCCTGTTTTGAGACATCTCCAAAGCCAGTGCCACCTTGCTCAATCTAGGACTTGGTTATTTGAGGCAGTCCATTTTCTTATTTATTTATTTATCTTGGGTACTGGGAATTGAATTCAGGGGCACTCAACCACTGACTCATATCCCCAACCCTATTTGTATTTTATGTAGAGACTGCTTAGTGCCTTGCTTTTGATGAGGCTGGTTTTGAACTCATGATTCTCCTTCCTCAGCCTCCTGAGCTACTGGGTGAAACATTTTTATTTTGAGATAGGGTCTTGCTAAGTTGTTTAGGGCTTTACTAAGTTACTGAGGTTGACCTTGAACTTGCCATCCTCTTATCTCAGCCTCTCAAATCGCTGAGATTACAGTTGTGTGTTTCTCTGCCCTGCACATTTTTTCTCCTTTTTGCTTAAAATCAGTTAACCCACTTGAATCAAATGTATGAAATATGATATGTCAAGAACTATGTAATGTTTTGAACAACTAATAATAAAAATTAAAAATAAATAAATAAATTAAAAATAAATAAATAAATAAGTTCAAAATGGCTTCCTATTCTGTGGTCTCACCACCCTACCAAATTGATTCTGTTTTCCATTTTGCCTTGTCATCTGTGTTTTATGTCAATTTTTATATAGTTTGTTTTCACTGGCATATTAGTTTGCATTCTGCCTTTTCTGCTGTCATTACTTCATGTTTTTCCACAGTTAACATAGGGCCGTGAGTTAGTACTCCTAAAAATTAACATAGCACAATCTACTTAACTGTTTCCCAAATGTAGAATGTTCAGTTTGTTTTTTCCTCCTTATATTATACTTCAATACTATAGTGACAAATTAGAAAGTCTTTTTTTTTTTTTTTTTTTAATTAGGGCTGGGAATATAGCTCAGTTGGTAGAGTGCTTGTCTCACATGTACAAGGCCCTGGGTTCAATCTCCAGCACCACACACACAAAAAAAAGTTTTAGTGTGTGTGTGTGTGTGTGTGTGTGTGTGTGTGTGTGTGTATTTTTTTTTCATTTTTTCCCCTTTCTTCTTTATAGCTTTATTCTTTTATTGAATTAATTCTTAAGTTAAATTCCTAAGAGTAGGAGTGCTGTTAAAGGGTATGGACACTTTCATGGTTTTTGACGCAAAAGTGAATATTTTTTACATTTTGGAAAGTTTGCTTAGATGTCAAGTTTGGAGGAACTGTCAAAAGTCTTTAATGGTGAGAGCCTTGAGTCACTCCCTCCTGCCCTGCTTTCAGTCCTAGAGTAATTGCTGTGTGTTGCTCATCCAGAACATGTGGGGGTGGGAAGAAGTGCCGGAGGCCACAGTAGCTGACTCTGCTGGGTTTTAGCTTTGCCTGGGGAATGGGGCTCCAGAGTGTGGTGTAGTGTTCTCACAAAGGAAAGGCAGGCTGGGCAGGCAGCCAATAGCACCAGGAGGGGCTTTCAAAATACCAAGTTCTTGCTGCCCACAGTCAGATTTAGAATCTCATTAAGGTAAGCAACTAATCCATAAGTGATTCTAGTAACAATTCCCTAATAAATCCTCTTATATCTTCCTATAACAATTTAGATTTTTCCTTATAGCACCTTTTAGTATTGCAAATTATTAATTATGCAATTCATTGTCCAATTTTGATATTTCACTTGAAATTAATCCAGCAGAAGGAAAAAGCTATATATATATATATAATATAATATATATTATATTGTCTACAAGCTCCATGAAAGCAGAGATTTGTGTCCTTTTTGTTCACCCCTGTGTCCTAAGCTGCCAAAATAGTGCCTGATGCATACTAGGCATTGAACAAATATTTGTTGAATACATAGGTGAATGAGAATAATAAAAGAAATGAGGTTAACTGTGTTTCTTAAATTTACTTGACAATGGAATCATTTTTTCAAATCCAAGTAAATATTCTAAGAGATACACTTGGGAAATGCCAAATTTCCATGGACTCTAGAAGAGGAGGTGAGGTGAAGTAGCCTTGTGTGTTATTTAATGGTCCTCATTAATGTTCTAGTGAAAATTGGCCATTTGTGGATCATCAAGCAGTTTTATGGGCTAGTCCCATCAAAATGCTTTAAAAGACATCTATAAAATTCTTCTTAGGAAAGTCCATTTGTGAGTATTTTCTCAGTGCTGACATATATGAAGTTAAAAGAGGTTTTTGCACATGAATATATATATAATTAACTCACTGAGACTTTCTCTGACTGTGAGGAATTATTCTGGTATTTAGTCACCCCAGTATAAACAGCTCTACATTAGGAATCTAAGATTAGCTGAGATACCTGGTTCTAATTCCAGCTCCATTCCCAAACATTCTGCTTGATCTTTAGGAGCCTTTCTGAGCCTTGGGAACCCCTTCTTTAAAGTGAGAGGATTGAATTTAAAAGACTGTAATATTTTTTTCCAGCTAGGATAGACAATGGTGCTTATCTAAAGCACATTTAGTATCTACAAATGGCATAAGTAGCTGTGAACATGAAGAACAAGTTAATATATTCATTGCTGTAGCTAGTACAGTTTTGGAGATCATTACAGGGAAGTGGATGCTAAAATACAAAGTTCAAATTTCATGAACTTAAACCATGATTGCTCTTAGGCTGAGCAATTCAAAAGGCTCTCACAGCACAGGTTGAGTAAAGCCCCCTTATATTTAATGCTGGCTGAAAATAAAAGTGAAATGCCATGAAAGATACACTGAAATTAACCCGAAGCGAACCCTTTGCTATTTGCAGATCTATAGTAAGACCACTTTCTGTACTAGCTTTGTTCTGTGACCTTATAAGTGTCTCTCGAGCTTGCAGCACTCAATTTTCCCCTCAGATACTTTTCCCCTGTACTGCTTATCTTGTAAAATTAACTACTGTGTAACAGATGTATGAGCCAAAGCTAATTTTATAAGAAACGTGAGTGAGAGAAAATCAATCTTTCAAGGTCCCTAAAGTCTTGAGATCATAAAGAAAAAGGCTAAAGAATTAGGTTCTGACTTTTTGCTTTTGATTTCCTTCTTAGTTTCAGTTTTTCTTTTCAGAATCTTTCTTCCCTAGACCTGCATGGCATATATAGATGCTCATAAACAAAACAATGACAATACTAGACTGTTAGAAAGGTCACAGCCCATGCTGCCAACAGACACAGCCAGGCTGGCTTGCTGGTGGAAATTTACAAATGATAATGGGCTGCC